ATACCTGAGATAAGTGTACGGGTTTTTATACGCGCAGTCTAGAAACTTTCCGATCGCACCTCGTATTTGTCATGGCCTACTTCATCACTAGTAACTGCTCAAGAACATATGTCGTGTGCATTCCGGGCGAAAGCTGCGAAGACTGTGTCTTAGATCAGTGTCTCCTTAGAACTTCATTGTGTAGCTGGCCTGTACAGGCCTGAGATAATTCTAGCAAGGTTCCAGAAGCTTCTGGACTGCATCCGGATGATAAAAGTACAAACTGAAGCTATTTGAGGTTCAAGGTGACGTCAGTCGAAACAGGCGATGGTGAAACAAGTGACGGATGACATAACCAGGGGCCTCTCTCTCTCTCTCTCTCTCTCTCTCCAGTAGAAAACAGATGCTTTCGTATTTCTTCAAGAACACGAAACTGACGTCAGCGGAAATATTCCTGGGAAATACGAGGCGCGTCCCAAATGTAAGTTTCCCACTCGTCCCACAGCTAGCAAACCTTATATTGCGCGAAGCGACTGTGCGTACGTGATAGAGCAATGACGTAGCATGGCGCATGCACTAACGGCACTTCCCGCGTTCTCACAGTAGCATCGTTGCAGCTGTTGAAGATGGAGGTTCTTATTCCAGCTCCCGCCGACTGTGAAGTGCGGTCAGTGATAACGCTAGGCCGCACACGGCTCGACAGACAGCAAGTCTCCTGCAGGAGTTCAGCTGGGAGGTGTTTAATCATCCACCCTACAGCCCGGACCTCGCTCCCAGTGATTTCCATCTTTTCCTACACCTCAAGAAATTCCTGTCCGGTCAGCGTCAGCGTCAGCGTTTTGAGAATGACAGAGAGGCGGAGATGGCTGTCACACAGTGGTTCCAATCCCAGGCGGCAGACTTCTACGACACAGGTATTAAAAGTTGGTCCCACGCACCTGTGACGTGATACTAAACTATTTATTTTATTTTATTTAGTGTTCTGTCTGACGACAGGTCCATATGAACGGGATCCTTCCATCCTTTTCTCGGACTGGGACCTGTAGTTTGTCCAAACCCCATCTTGTCGCCACATGCGCTGTGTGAGACATTTAAAAGTATTAATCTCCGTACACAAATCCCAAAAATGTTGCGTCAAGCGGGGAAACAATGTTGTAATCATGACATTCTGCGAATCCGTTCAGTTCTTCGACAAGTATTGCTTAACTACAGAGTAAAGAAGACGCCAGCCTACTTCGGCATTTCGCCGCGTAGTCTCGCTGCTGACCGAAGTTTCCAGAGGTGCCAACTGCTTGGGACGAGACTACTCGGTGAAATATCCCTGTAAGCCACCATCTACATATTTGCCACAGACATCTTACTTATGATCTGAAATTGTTAAGAAATACGAATAGCAATATACAGCTGATTAGTGAATGATATGGAAATTAAGAGAAACCAAAGTTTCGTAGCTCGCCAGTCCTTTCATTCGTACGGGCGAAATCGTAAGCCTAAAACCGCTGATAACCCTGACTGACGTGCGTAGTTATCAGCTCGGCGTAAAAAAAGGATAGGAGATTAGCCAATATACTGAAGTTTTAAATAATCTTGCAACTAAAGTAGTTTTACGCAGTAATGTGTATCATTAATAATTATAAAATGCAAAAACTTGGGGTATTTTGGGACCCAAGTGCTATGTAGGCAAAGATAAAAGTTTTAATATCGAAGCGCACAGCATAATTCAATTTTTTTTTAAATATTAGTGATAATATTTGCAGATCTTCAGAGGCTTATAAGAGGATTCCTCGAATTTCTTCCTCTCAGACCGTATCTTCAATTTCTGTCCTTTGGGCGTAAGATCACCTAAGGGTTTCGTATTTATATGAGTTACCGGTTTTACAAATGTAATAATAAAAAGGACCTAATTATAGCAGTACATGGGCAGGTTGTGTCTGTCTCGATTCAACTGGACAACCACTGGACCGATTTAGATGAAATTTGGTATGGGCGACCTCAAAATATCACTTCTGGATAGCCTACGAGCTATGATAAAATGACGGATTACGAATCAAAAGTTGGCAACTCGCTTTTGCGGAGTTTTTTTCACATTGTAATAATTAAAACACGTTAAAACCCGGGAAGGATTCACTTATAAACTTTTAACCAATTATATTCTAACCAGATATTCATAAATCCAAATTGCACACAATACTATTTTTTTTAAAAAAATATAATTTACTGTCGTAAAATATTAAATGAGCCAAGTAGCACGCACGGAAAATATCATATAAATACATACAAAATTTTGGTTTTAAAACCTGAATGGAAGATACCTCCTACCATATCTGAGCTTTGAAAGAAGTGTGATTTTAAAATGAAAATTCAAATATCAGAGTGTTGGGATGTGTATTGGATTCATCTGGCTCGGGAAAAGTTCCCATTGGCTGGCTCTAAGAAACCTTCGGGTCCCTTAAAAGTTCAGAAATTTCTTTTTTACTGAACAACTGGTCCCGTTTTCAACGTCTGAACACCACAGACTTATAATAACCTAATATTAAGGGAGAAATAACGTCAGAGGATTTCACCAGCAAGTTCGACCTCCCTCAGCATTTCTCACGAATTTCTGCTCTCGTATGCACAAATCGATATGAAATCTGTTCGTTTCGATAACTCGCATTTAAATCCACTTGAACTAATGCACTGTACTGCACTAAAATGTAACTCAATGTGTCAGAGACCTTGCTGATAGGCTCTTACCTCGTCCAAAAATTACCAGTCTAATGGAATCTGGACGTTCATCACCGCGTTTTGAGAAACCCAACACAATTTAAAGAATCGAATCAGTCCCATTACTAATTTACACGAAACAAATAAATAATTCATCATGAAGATGGAAGCCAGAACGTCCTCCGAAACGTTGGTAACCACCCACAAACCCACACGACGTCACAATTCGGAAGATCACAATCGACAGTCTATATTTTTCGACAAAATCATGTTTCCTTCTCAAACTATCGAGCCTTAGATCTAAGGAGAAACTGTAAATAATATTATGTCAATGACTACCTTGAAAAATTTCAAAGCTGAAAACCAAATAGGTAATTGCATTCGTTCTGAGGTTGCAACACTGCTGTTAGATAATCACAGCAAGGACGTTTCTAAGTTGTAACTTAAAAAAAAAACTATTGCTGTACAAGCAGTAATTACATAACAGTGGCGTGATAAAGCAGATTTGACTATAAACACAAACAAAATGTTTGTGACGTTAAGTTGGCACCACTTTAAGTGTCGTCAGTCTAGGACTGCCTGTAACCCTAATGGAAATGTCCGAGCATTACAACTGATATTCTGTGCCTGTGGAGTCTTGGGACAACCAGGGATTGCTTGAACACAAACAACGTAGCAGCCCAACTTGTCTCAACAATGAACGCGTAGACTCTAACGTTGTTATATGGCGATAATACCGTCGACGAACTAAGATTTCTTCACCTGGAACCAACGGACTTCAACAATGCACCACTAAACACGGGTTTTTAACGCTTCATTCGAGGTGCACGACTGTTGTTAAGTCCAAACGCTAAACGAAATTGTATAGATTGTCGTGCTATTTCGCTAATCGTCCACTCAATATTAATCTATTCATAATATTAAATGAGAAAGACGACACAGATACACAGCAAAACGAATAGTCAAGTCAACACTTAAACTACGTTCGTCACTTTCACTGTTTACATTACTCGCGAGACGACAAGTTCTAGTAGTTTTCAGTTTTAACGCTAGATGGAACTCATCATTTACCGTGATATACTTTTTGATATTACGACAGTTGAATTAAATAAAGCTACTCGCGCTGTGAATATATCCATCACCTGTTCCTAAAACATCAGTCCTTTGTATTGCCGGCCATGAAAACTTTAGTCCTATTGCATCATTTCAGGCCGGCGACTCGTAGTTCCACGTGTCACTCCTCGAAATTAAAACCTGGATGACGCAAGCTGCCGTGGAAGTTTACAAGACAGAACCTTGGCTGTGCCATTGAAACACACGTCCAATCTTACCTCATCTCTAGGCTCCGTCGGATGCCTCATGACTCCACAAGACACAACACCTCTCCAGTAGCAAGTACAGCACTGACGCAATGTCCTTATTGGGGTCACCTTGTTTCGAGCCAGAGGCAGGCAACGCGCAACTGTGCCACATCCCCCCCCCACCGTCTGACGTCACACGTTCGTGTGGTACTCCAGTCGGAAATTCCGTCTCCAGCGTAGATCGATCGTGTGCTGTTTCCTGTCATAGTTGTTGGGGCCGAAATAAAGGTGGGTGAATGTATTACCCGCGGTTCTAAAAGCGCGGAACGCGAACCTCTTTGTGTTACTGTGTCATCCCGAATAAGGATATCAGCACACACGCTTTGTTAATGGGCAGCCTGTGTTTCGTTCGCTGTAAGCAACCGTTCAGCTAAAAGTTACTCGAAATCCATTTTAATATTATCTCCCTCTTGTAGTGAGTGGCCTCTTCTCTTCAGGTCTTTTTAATGACCGACATTTTTCGTGTTCATCTACATACGTAGCCAATCCTCTTTCGTTTGAAGACGAATATTTTACGAAGAGTGAAAACTGTGTAGCTCTCTCATTACATTTTTTGGTACTCGTGGGTTATCGGGACACATCGCTTTAAAAATAGGTTAGGTTAGGTTAGGTTAGGCTAGGTTAGTTTAGGTTAGGTTAGGTTGGTTAGGTTAGGTTAGGTTAGGTTAGGTTAGGTTAGGTTGGTTAGGTTAGGTTAGGTTAGGTTAGGTTGGTTAACCTAACCTCAACTAACCTAACCTAACTCAAACTAACCTAACCTCAACTAACCTAACCTAACTCAAACTAACCTAACCTCAACTAACCTAACCTAACTCAAACTAACCTAACCTCAACTAACCTAACCCAAACTAACCTAACCTAACCCAAACTAACCTAACCTCAACTAACCTAACCTAACCTAACCTATTTTTAAAGCGATGTGTCTCGACAACCCACAAGTACCCATTCTTTCGCCCGTCTCCCGGTATTTATCCTATTTAAAGTGTAAATATGTTTTTCTTTGTACTTTATTCACTCCACATGTTCTCAATATAGGCCGAGTCCATCACTCAGGGTCTGAGGCTAAGTTTCACGCCCATAAGAAAATTAAATTCGCCTCGAAATTTTCTTACAGACCTCCAGTATAAAATTTGTCGAAATTCGTTGCTTCGAAAGTGGAACATGCGAGAATAATGGCACAGTCCCCCCCCCATCGTGTTATGCAACCCGTGCAAAGAAAATTAACTCGTGACATACAGCAGGCACACCAATCTCCCCCACCCCCACCAACCTCGACCGAAGTGCGCACACACACACCAAAATAAAAATAATTACAACAGTAAACACTGCTCTGATCAGGAAGAGGACGCTATGACGTATTTGTGACGTCATTAAAATCAATGGCGAAGAGAAGAATTGGTCCTTGAGTGCGTTTAGAAACACAAACTGTGCCCTTATTTTACTTGAACGAGATTAACACGCAAAGCGTTGCTCAGATTTTATACCAAAAGATGGCTCTGCTCAGTGTACTGACTTTCAAAAAGTTACGTCCACGTAGATATAAGAATAAGGAAGTAACATTTGGATTGAGAAACAGAAAATTTAAATCATAAAATGCATTGAGAAATACACTTTCGTCCGTTTGTCTTTTGTTTCCTGTAATATAACGGTAAATTCGACGGTGTACGTAATCACTACAACACGAAGAAGTATAAGGAAATGGCGTCAAATCAAGATTTTGGCACCAGATGGCAGTGAGTATATCATCATCACTCATTAAAAAGGTTAAGAGCTTGCCCGCAAAGCTAGACGGAGCCAGCCACACAATTACGAACAAATAAACTCTGTTTTTGCTCAAACTGGCCGTTAATAAAGAGGATACTTCTGGTCTGGAACGATGAAACGATAACTCTTTATATAAATGATTCTGAAAACGTATGCAGTTTGTTAACGCGTCTCGTCTGGTAGTTACGAAAAACTTTATTCCTGATAAACACACAGTACTTGGATTCTAAACTAATAAATGATTCTGAAAACGTATGCAGTTTGTTAACGCGTCTCGTCTGGTAGTTACGAAAAACTTTATTCCTGATAAACACACAGTACTTGGATTCTAAACTTCTTTCCCTTAACAAGAATGAAAATCAATGCAGTGTCATTCAAAACGTATTCTTCAGTCCAAAACACGTTCGATGACGTCATTAGCACAAACAAAAGAATAATAAATTCCGCAATGCATTACTAATGCAATCTTATATCATTGTTGCACTAATGCGATCCGAATTCACTGTTACCAAAATGGAAACCGAGGCATTTGTCGCAACAATGTGTTCCAACAATAAATGTTAGCTGCATTTAGAACCACCAGTTGGAGTGATAAACGTTACCTATAAGCGTTATAATCAAATGCAGCGTTCTTTAACATAAAATGTGATGGAGGACTTTGCAATTAGATTTCTGTCTTCTGGGTTGTTGCGCTGTGTAGTCTGGTCGATGTTTACCAACGTTTCGGAGGTCATACTGCCTCCATCATCAGAGTATGAAGATTTCTGTCTTCTGGGTTGTTGCGCTGTGTAGTCTGGTCGATGTTTACCAACGTTTCGGAGGTCATACTGCCTCCATCATCAGAGTATGAAGATTTCTGTCTTCTGGGTTGTTGCGCTGTGTAGTCTGGTCGATGTTTACCAACGTTTCAGAGGTCATA